CCACTTGCCTTGATGTTTTCTAGGGAAGCGATTTGTTTGTTCTTGTAGTAACAGCCCATCTGCCTCCATTTTTTCCTGCAGGTCTTTCTTTCAAGAGGTATCTTTTATTCTTCTAGCTGCTCAAGGCTGGTCTGCTCATCCTTTCAAGTGGAGATTATCACTTAACATTTTGATGTACTTCTTGGCAGTCCTATCTAGGCCCATTATTTTGTGTGTGTATGTGCTTGTGTGTTTCTAACCAAGAAGTCTTGGTGGAGCAGTGGTTAAATGCTCAACTGCTAGCCAAAAAGTCAGCAGTTCGAATTTACTAGCTGCTTTATGGAAGAAAGATCTGGCAGTCTGCTTCTATAAATATTTACAACCTTGGAAACCCTATGGGCAGTTTACGCTCAGAATTGCCTTGACAGCAGTGGGTTTAATTTACTTTGTTTTTAAAATTATGCTGTTTTATATGGTTCTGTTTATTTATTTTTAAACTTTATATTGTGATATATATACATATTTCTTAGGCTATTAAAAAGTCTTTGAAGATATCCTTTTGAACTACTGCATAATATTTCATTATTTATGTTTACTTTAATATTAATATATTTGTATTTGCAGTGATAGTTGAGCCAATTCCAGTTGGACAATCTGCTAGGGATTATTTAAATTCATATGTAATGCCAACTCTGCTTGAAGGACTCACAGAGCTTTGTAAGCGAAAACCAGCAGATCCTTTCGTAAGAAATATTTTTATTCACCCTAAAGAAGTACTGTCTATAGTTTTCATGTTTAAGACATTGTATTCTTTGAAATGGTAGAAGTATTGAGAACCGTTTTAAGAGTTTTTTTAAAAAAAAACTATTTTATAGCCATTTTAGTTCTTCCTTTTGTATAACTTTTTTTAAAACTTTTAATTGTGACTTGGGAGTGGTCCTGTAGGATAATCACTGGCCTGCTAATTACAAGGTCGATAGTTCAAACCTACCAGCTGCTCCCAGGAAATCCTATACAAGGTTGCTATGACTCGGAACCAACTCAAGGACATACAGCCACAACAACATTGTGAATTAAATGCAGGTTTACCTTTTGTGTAATTTTTGATTACTTAGTTTATTTGCAGCTTTTTTCTCTTTAAAAAAGCATTGCCCTAACTGTGTTAAGTATTGCATCCTTCAGTTGCTGAGCATTGTTTTAGGTATCATCTGTATAATAATACAAATAATAGAAGTAGAAATATACTTGAATATCTATCAAAATGTTCCTAAACCTTTTTGTATTTCATGATATATTTCTTTTTAAAAACAACTTATTCACATGTCTAGATACTTCAACATTGCTCCAAGATAGAGTTCACAGTATTCTGTTGTATAGATGTTATATATTAATTGGTCACATACAGGTGGTCATTTGGTTTATTTCCATTCCTGTTATTATTACAAGCCCTGCTACAATAAATATCCTCATTCATGTGTCATTATACCATTTATCTGTCAAATAAATCCCTAGACATTGAAATGTTGAATCAAAAAGAAATATATGCATTTTTATTTAGAGAAATATTGTCAAGTAACTTTTTGCAGTGGTTGTACTATCTTATGTGCCAATCAATCAGCAGTGAATGAGAGGTATTTTCGGGCTTTGTATTTTTTGCCAAACTGATAGATGAAAAATGGCACCTCATAGTTTAATTTGTATCCTTTTGTTATGAGTAAGTTTGAGCATATTTTCTTATGCTCTTGAAAGCCATTTGTGTCTCCTTTTCTGTGAACTTTTCCCTCTGCCTTTTGCCAATTTGGGTTCTAGGTCTTTTGGCTTCTAGGTCTTTACCTTATTGTATGGGAACTCCATATGCTTAGGAAATTAACCCTTTGCGGTTTGTGAATTTTCCAGCAGTTTTCTCAGTTTATCACTTAGTCTTTCGACTATGTTCACAATATATTTTGCCATGTAAATTTTTTTAAAAATTTAATGTAGCTTAATTTATTAGATTCCCTTTATGGCTTCTGAGTTTCTGGCCATGTGTAAAGAAGATTTTCTGCTCTAAGATTATAAAAACTATTTTCCCATGTTGTCATCTACTAATACTTTATGCTATATCTTTGATCATCTGGAATTTGTATAAGGAGTGAGATGAGGAGCCAGTTTTATTTTATCTTCCATTTGGTTACCAATGGTTCAACACCACTTATGGAACATTCTATATTTTCTTTACTGACGTAAATTCTTCTGTTAACAGATGCTAAATTCTTGCATACATTTAAGTTTATTCCTGCATTTTATTTTCTGATTCACTTATGTATATGTCTGTTTATTTGTAAGTACCACATTGCTGCAGGTAGTTTTAAAGCTTCTAATTGCTTTTCTAAAGGAGCTCTGGTAGC